TCTCATCATCGTCTCCGCCTTGTCGATGGGCTTTCACCAATTCATCGATCAGCCATCACATCTCTTATTTTCATCATCAATTATCACCGTTAAAGCTGGCTGATAGGCATGATGATCTCGGTAACCATGTGGGCTTCAAACTTACTTACACCTTGCACCAAATTACTTGACATCATCACATGCAAGTGCTGGGGCATTTTGCACAACTTAACCAATTTTATATTGGGTAATGAATCAATCATTTGCGATACCATGATTTTTCATTAGTGCAAATAATAAAAATTCAATTGAATAATAAAAAAAAAGTAAATTTTTTAATTATTCATATGATTCAGTTAATTGATTAAATGTATTCTTACTGTTTGAAAATTGATTAATGCTGTTTTTGACTTTTCTTATTATTAGCATATTCGTTAACAAAAAGACAAAAAGACTATTTTACTATTTATTTTTCTTCAAATTTTAAAAATAAAATAAAAAAAAGGAGAAATAAACACTGAACTCAATGACTCTTAGGTGATCTCAGTACTTACATCCCTATCATTTTTGCACTTAAAAACCCCTTCGATGACATCGACAACAATGAGCACTGTCGAGTTGATGGTGGAGAAAGCAAAGGGATGAAACGACAACAATGAAAACCTCTTTGTCTGTACGGATTTGATGGCGGATAAAGCAAAGGAGAGGCCTTGCGAGAGCTGAACACTATGAACCACGGGTGTGGGTCTGATAAACGCCAAGCTAGTAACGAGAGTAAACTTGCCTTGTGTAGCCTAAGACGGAGAATTATTGCCAACAAGGGAACGGAGGATGATAGAGGATCAGGGGAGAGATTTCGATCAGTTCCAATCACTGACTACTAGCTTCAAGCGGCAATGACGACCGGATTTATAACAGAGAGTTTAGTGATAGGAAGTTAATTTTTGGACTCGAGTTCTGCTTGCCGGAGAATCTACAGTTTGTCGCCACTATGACACCTAGCTCAAGTTTGGGAGTTTGAAGACAATGGTGAACAATGACCCAAAATGCAAAAATAAATTAGGGAAGGGGTGGGAAAAAAGATCGGGAGGATGAGGGAGAGAGGGGAAGAGAGAGAGAGAAGGCAATTTGCCGTGTTCAGATCCGCTGTTGCAATGAGTTGCAGCAGCGTGGTGATGACCCCTCTTCGAACGAAAACATAGGAGTGGTAGTGACCCCTCTGTCCATTCCTCTTTTTCCTCTTCTTCTTCAAGATCCCAATAAATCAACCGAAATCGACTATTATAGTACCTTTCATCATCGACCTCTGCTTCAACCAGAAGTGGCAACGACAATTTTCTCTCTAATCTCTCTTATTCTCTCACACTTTCTCTTCTTTTTTTTTTCTTCTCCTTCTTCTCTCCTCCGTATCCTCTCCGCCACCACTGCAGATCTGAACACGACAAATAACCAAAGACTAACTATAAGCAAAGCAAAATGAACATTCAAATGTTAAAACAAAACCATAGGAAATGAAAATGAGGTATTTTGAATTAGTATTAATCTGAGTCCATCAGTATGTTTGTGGATCTGATGAACGCCAAACTAGTAGCGAGAGTATACAATGAGAGAAAGATAGGAAGAGAGAGAAGGAGAGAGAGTAGGGGCTGGGACGAGGGTAATATTAGGTTTTGAAAAAAACTATAGGTCACGTAAAGTCACATATGTTAGTCAATTATTGAAAACAGTAAAGATAGGATTAATCAAGTTTCAACAGTAAGAGTATGTTTAGTCAATTAATTAAATCATAAGAATAGTTTACTTTAAAAAATACCATTAATTCACGCGGGTAACAAGTTTCACGCTTGTGTTACAACAACCGGTTCTCGTTTTATCTCATGGCTTTCACATTTTATTCATTGCTAATTTGTTTTTCTTTTCTTTGTGTGTGAAGGTGGTGAAAAAGTAGGTTTGTCTTTTGTTCGTCCACATGCTCTATCGACCGCGGAGAAAGTCCAGATATCTCATTTCTGTCATCAGAGGCTTGGTTTTGACGTCAATGGGGGAGGGAGTTGCAAGGAAGCGGTGGCAACAGATGTGAACACAACTCGTCCGATTCCAAAAGAAGTAATACGTGGCGGCCATGTTTGGTTAGCGCAATGCTCCTCAACGGCCAAGGCTGAAGGCTTCTCTGTACTGATGCCACATTTCGATCGTCCAAAAACAGCAACTTGACCAGTTATGTTGATCTCGGCGCTAGAGTCTACAACCCATCGGATTAAATATGGATATAAGGTTTTCTGTCAATATCATCGTTCCAGAGTCATCTTTTAATGTTATTTTCAGCAATTCTTTTTATTGTTTTTTTTTTTTATTTTGAGGAAAAGATGATTAATGAGATTTTCGTTTAGGGAAAATCTATGATGCAGAAAAGATATGATATGGAAAGAGTTTCGATTAATCAAAATCCATTCATGAATTTTGATAAATAACACGTTATTTGCTATTATGTTTGTGATTTCAATTTATTGGTCAGTTATTTTTTCTGTATCATAATCCAACCCGTGTTTTTATTGACCTAAAATGAATAAATGACACAGGTGAATAAATAATTTTTCCAACAATACTTGAATAAAAGGAAACTATCCCTTTTGATAATAGTTTCTTATGACTAAAATCATTATTATCTTATTTATTTAAAAAAATAAAAGAATTTAAATATCTATACGAGGACTAAGGCTGCAAATAGATCGGATTTCGGTAAGAACATATCAGATCTGATCCGTTAAGAAAATCCGATTAATTTGAATCCAATAAGGATTCGTCGGATTTTTACAAACATGATTTGAATTTGAATTTAAATGTATTATCAGATATCCGATGCAATTAGAATTATACTTATATTATGTAATATAAATAATATATTATATTATTTATAAAATATAATATATAATTATATAAATAATATAATATATATATTATATAAATAATATATAATATTTTATAATTAACGAATCAGATTGAGTTACAACAGATCCGATCAGCCAATATCCAAATTCAATCTATTAAATTAACAGATTGGTTTTTCCAATCCTATCCGATTTATTAAGATAAAGAGGAATATCCGAATCTACCTCTTTAACGGATCAGTATCGAATTCGAATCTAATATGATCCGATTTATTTGCAGCCCTAACGAGTTTTGAACTTAACTAATCATCTCACTGGGTGAATGTATTTAATTTTCATTGCTTGGCGGAGCTAGAAGATGATCGGTTATCCGAACGTCTGAGCCCTGAGAAGTGGTTGATGGAGGAGAGAGAATAATGGTGGTGGAAGATGGGAGTTTGAGCCAGGGTCCCTCAATTCGGAGATGATTTATATATTTCTCCCTTTGTTTTAATAACTGGAACCTTCTAGGCAATTATGCCATGTCAATATCGGTGGCCAATTATTAGATACTAGTTTATTATTTTTTTTTATTTTTTATTTTTTCTTTTAATAATTTATTAATTTTTAAAAAATAATAATAAGTCAAAATCGGATTAGATCCGAAGAATCAATATACCAATAGGATTCGAATTCAAATCGAATCGTATCAGATTCGATAAATAGTATTAGATCGAATTCAAGTATACCTTAATTCAAATTCAATCCAATCCGTTTGTATCCCTAAAGCTGCATTTGGAAACGATGCAAATATGTGTGAATGCAAATATATAGTGTAAAATGGTTCATATAAATTGTAAAGTTTGATTAATTTTGCATTGACAAATTTACCTTCTTACCAAATAGACTTTTAGTTGTAATGGATGCAAACACGATTTCCGATAAAACATGTTTTTTTTATGAAAATCCCACTTGATTGCAAATTTACTTCTTTTTTGTTGATGTACTTTTACATCTTATTATCAATGAAGTATGTATTAATCTGTCATTTGTCAATGAAAAAATGTAATATTGCAAAACAAAAGCAAAAGTGAACCAGAATCTAAATTTACCCTGAACTGAGATTTACACTCCATTTACAGCGTTTCCAAACACAGCCTAAACAAAATGTTAGGGAATGTTGTCAAGTTCTTAAGGAAATGCACAAATTTTGTTAAGAACTTTTTGTTTGATTTTCTATTTCTATCAAACCAGCCTTAAAAAAAAAAACAATTAAAACATAATTTCAAGCCTTCTCCTAATCCTAACCAAAAGTGCCATACAAAATAAGTCTACCTTCATTTTTTTATATAAAAAATACATTATCAAACATTTGCAAAAGAAAAACTGAACCAAAATGCAAATTAATTTGTTTTGGCTCAATTTGGGAAGAATAATAAAATACAAATATAATGGTTCAACATTTGTACTCTTACCAAATGCAGCCTTTGTGATATCAATGTTTTAATTTACTATGGATGTTCTTTAACCTAAAATCCTGAACCCATTATACGTTAGGCCCACTTGACCTGACCCTAACCCAAAACCCGATTAAGGCTGAAAGAGGGTGTACCACTTAACCCCACCCATGACATAATTGAGATTTCTGTCAATAAAACACGTTCTAAAATTTTATCAATTTGATCTAACACCACACATCTCATCTTATAAGATTATATTGGTAGAGGGTTGAAACGTATTTTGTTGGCAAGTGATCCGGACTCTCTTTGAGATATTCGGTACACGATGTTTCAAAATTGAGCCAGTGTCAACTGGTTCTTTCTTCTTTGATTGCCTAATTGCATTATATGACTAAACCGCCCGATTCGAGAATGTTCGCACAGAAGCCAGTCCTTGTAGTCTATTCAGCTTTAGAAAGAAATTATTTTGGAAGTACCACCTACTTGGACGATGGCCAAAACCCATGTCGAGACTTCTAGGATTAGGAAGAAAGAATGGATTTCGCCAGGATACATTGAAGCTGAACCCATCTCTCATTAGGGGCCGGTCCCGGGCAGGGTCCACTGGTTTTGGCCGATATGAGTATAAAGTTGGTCCCGATGTAACGCAACATTATTTTGATTTTGTCTAGAGAACCTTTGAATTGAACCACATGACTCGTGGTGGATTGGTGTGCTGTAAGCCTGTAACCGGTACATGGTTACCTTACTGAGGCTTACTCGTTTTCTGCACTCTGATTTTTCTGGGACAAGGCCCGAACAAATTGGACTCTCTTCTTTTTCTTTTCTTTTGTTCACACGCAGACGCAGTGGTTGAATCCAAGAAACATGTAAGAAATTCTCATTGTTTCTGTCCAAAGACCCTTTTCCCCCACGGTTTCTATTTCTATCTTCTTCACCTTCATTATATATAAAGCAGAGAGAGTTCTCTGGCTCTCCCGCATTCCAACTCCATCCTACAAATTTGAGATCTACCTGTGTTTGTTTCTCTGTCTTACGACTCATTGGCTGTGAAACATGAAGAATCTAGGCAAACCCATCTCCACATTTGGCCTTCTTTGTCTGTTACTTGTCATCCTGAATGCAAGATCAGCTGCCTCTCAGGAAGTTGGTAATGGCAGATGCAAATTTCAGTGTGTGTTTTCCGATTAGTGACATGGGTTGCAGGGACTGACTGACGACCCAAGTGTTTTAATTAATTTCTGTGTTTTATATATATCATGCAGAGGATGAGAGAGAGTTTGATTACTTGGAAGGCAGCGGGAAGGGGCCCGATCATTGGGGAGAGCTTCATGAAGAATGGGCGGCCTGTAAGAATGGAGATATGCAGTCTCCAATCGATTTGTTGAACAAACGAGTGCAGGTGATTCCAGCTTTAGGGAGAATGAAGAGAAGCTACAAACCTTCTATTGCAACTCTCAAGAATAGGGGCCATGACATTGCGGTAAGCATTTGTGATGTTCCATTATTCAATGTATATAACTTTGCTTTGATCTCTTCTCTCAGGGAAGACTTGTTACTTTGATGGATCATGTTTTCTTTTAAAACGTTTATATTTGATGGTTTTCCCTCGATCTGGATCTCGATAACGGTAGCTGAACCATATACAGCCCCTCCCTGGATTCTGTTCTCCAAAGATAAAAAGGGGTATAGCCCTTATCTAGAGGAGGTCTTGAATTCAGACTCAGATAGCTATCTGCAGCACCAACAATGCATTTCTTCTTTTGAGTATCCGACTGTAATTGGTCATGGTTGCAGCTTCAATGGGTAGGTGGTGGTGGATCTATTAACATCAATGGCACTGACTATGTGCTCCAGCAAAGCCACTGGCACTCACCATCTGAGCACACTATTAATGGCAGGAGGTGATTAATTTCTCTGCCTACTTTTTTCTCAATATTCTTGATAAATTATTTGTTATTATTTTAGGGGCTCTGTATAATCTAAAATCTATCCATGGTTCACAGTTCCACGTACAGCTGCATGTAGTTCAATTCAACAACATTAAAACCTACAATTAGAATGAAATGAAGAAATAAAAGTTTTCTTCTTCTCAGGTTTGACCTAGAGCTGCACATGGTTCATGTAACCTCGGACACTAAAGCGGTCAACAAAATAGCTGTGATTGGAATTCTTTACAAGATCGGCCGGCCTGATGATTTCCTCTCTGAGGTAAAAAATCAAACACACAACACAAGTACACAATTACACACAGAGAGACAAAACTCTGGTACTAATAAAAATGATGGTGGATGTTTGTTAAATTTGTACAGTTGATGAAGGGTATATGGTCTATTGCTGATAGCAAAGGAGAGGTGAATGTGGGAGTGGTAGACCCAAGACACATAAAGATAGGCAGCAGGAAGTATTACAGATACATGGGTTCCCTCACTGTTCCTCCATGCACTCAAGGCGTTATTTGGACTATCAACAAAAAGGTATACTGTAATTCCTCCTTCACACTCTTTGATCACCTAATTCAATGATCTCTCTTGCTTCATTTCAGCAGCAAGAGATTAAATTCCATGTATAACTCCAAATTATTGATTTCAGGTGAGGACTGTTACCAGAGGACAAGTGAAGGCTCTGAGGGTGGCAGTTCACGATGTAAGTTGATATTCCCTCTGGTTGAGAATTTGAGATTTGAGTCTGAACAGCAGCTTGAACGTTAATTAATATTTGATCCTGGATTTATTAATGGGATGGGCCTATTCCCGTCCGAGACAGTTTAGTCCCAAGGATGACCCAGGTCTAGCTAGTGGGCTGGTTACTGAAGCCGCCCACCTCTCTTTATATTTGATTTTAGGGCTCTAATTCTGGGTTTTTGTTTCTGAAATTGTTGCAGTATGCTGAAGAGAACTCAAGACCCCTGCAACTTCTCAACAATCGCAACATCCAACTCTATCGGCCCCAGTCTTTGACACGAGACTTGGTTAACTGATAGATACTTGTTGATATTTTGGAAACGATTGAGTTAATTTTTGTTTAATTACTTATCAATTTAATTATATGTATCGCATTCTTTGACATGAGATGAGATTAATTAGCCATTGCCATTTGATTTTTCAATTTCTGATCGGATTGGATTGTAATTGCCAATTGGATTCAAGCATCGAGGGGAATTTCTTCATCCCCCATTATCAACGGGAATCATACCTATAACCCATGTTTGGTTTGATACAACATAAGAGAGAAACAGAAACTTGAAGTCTAACAAAGTGTCTATTTGGGAGAGCTTTCAGATAATGGCCGCTGGCATTGCATGAACCATGAAACCCGGAAAATTGTAACGCCCCTTTTGATAGAAAATCTGGAAAGCTGAAAATAGGCTTGCATGAGCTCAAAGATCAGCTTTCTCATAAAGCTATGGTAGACAACTTTTCAAAAGCAGCTCAGTCAACCTAGCTCAATCACCTCATAAATCCTGAATAAAATTTGTGAAATTTCTAAAGAATTTTCCCCAGCTTTTTGTTTCTCTCATTTTTTACCAAACCAAGTACAGGGTTAGCTATCAAAGGCTTTGACATAATATTATTTTTTTCCGAGTTGAAGTGTATAAACCGTATTGGTTTACCCAGATTCACTTGCATACACCTATGCAAGACTTTTTTGGAAACTTTGAAACTTTAAAATAATAAATGGTGGGGCCATTTAATACCTATAAAATTAAAAAAATAAATAAATAAAAAAAGAAAACTAAAAATCAAGTAGTATCAGTTATATCAATACCTACAATATCCACTTGAGGGTATTGAGAGTATTAATATTTTAATCCTTGCCCATTCACGCCCTACTGTAAATGTACTAGTAATATTTGGAACCTCCCAAAACGCAAGGTTCTGGTTGTTTGCAATATAAATTTGAATCAAATACAAATTTTTTACTTGTTTCAATTTCACATCCATTTGTTTGTTACTATGATTTGTATTCTTACCTGATGCAAATTAGCACCATTTTACACTCAGCCTATTTGCATTCTTCTATATTTATACTAGCGCTAATTTCATTTACACTGCCAAGTGCAAATAAATTTACTGAATCAAAATTGAAGGCGAATGGTGGCAAAACCACACGACTCAAGCAGTTGTTAATAACCTGCTGAATCCGTTGATAACAAATAACGCTATGCACACCAAAGTTTTGTGACAATGCAAATTTCCATCCAAGGAGGTCAAAGTTGCACATCTTTTTGACGCCAATAAACGTTGCATTTTTTGGTACTATATGGGTTTAGTTACATGAATCCTCCTTGGTGCATGTGGATTCATTTTTCTAAGCATATATTTGGTTCCGCGAGAGTATTCTGACAGATGTTTTTTTAGATAAACAACTATCTGAAAAATACTATTTTAAACGGTTTTTTTTTTTTTTAATTTGATTGGACGTTTTATGGGTATTTCAAGTAATACCCCATAAAGTTGCTCTCCACCTCAGATAAAGTGCACCACATCAGCATTTCATTTTAAGAAATGCCTAAGAATTGGGGGAAACATGAATTTGATGTTTTCCCTAATGCCTTATGCACATAAATCAAAACATTTCAGTTTTCTAGTATTTATTTGATAAATGGTGAAACCAAACAGTGATTTCATATGCAATAAACATCAATGCTATACCGAGTGTTGTTAATACTTTAGAGCTATTCATCTACAAGCAGTAAAAATTTTCACAAGTTTCAAATATCCCCTTATGCATTAGCAATTTTGCCACAAGTAGTTAAAAAATTACAAGATCAACCTGATAAAAAGCATATACAAATAATAATAATAATAATAATAATAATAATAATAATAATAATAATAATAATAATAATAATAGAGTGAAATGGGCCAGGAGGCCCATGACTCATGTTAGCAAGATTGAGAGGTCACATCTCATGATAACGTGTCACTGATATCGGATTTAGCCCTTACAAAATTTGTCCTTATAGTTGTGCAATATCTCCCTACTCGTATGTTTTCATTCATAGGAAGATGATCCCATTGCACAGCTGAAGTATTGTGAGAATGACGTGAGAACCAATTTTGTGGGTATGAAATCCGGATTCTATGTCACTATATCATCAATGGACAGGTTTCACCCTAGTGCTTAGATTGATACTCCAATATTGTTGAGCACCCCTTAGTTTACTAATTTTTCCCCCATTTTTCAGCTCTCTTTTTTGAGAATTTACAACACTGGTGGCATAGCAGAAAATAGAAACATTAGTTTTAATAAAGACACTCCATAAATGATCTAATAAACGTGTATATGATATAACACTAATTTTACGTTTCAATAAACAGCCCATAAAGTCACTTTACAATTCAGCAAAAATAAACATTTCTTCATCGATGGCTATTTGGTGGCCGGGCGTTTTAAGAAACAGCCATATTAGTGATTTGGTGTCACTTCTACTTGAAATTTAGGATCCATTGAGTCAATCAAATGGTCCAAATTACCCAGTCCTGCATATAATGGTCGATTTTGAGATCCAATGGTGGATCTTGAATGTAAACCACACCCAATGGTTAAAATGTATGGTACAGGTTCTCAAAGCAAGGTTCAAAAAATTGACATATATTGGCCTGTACCGGGAGCACCCCGATACGCCCCTACAGAGGGTGTATCGGGGTCCTGACCGGTTCAGGGGGTAGAGGAACCTTAAACCGGCCCCCCGAATCGGATTTGAAAAAAAAAAAAGTACTGATACTGCCTGATACACCCCTACCGGCATATCAAGCATATCGATATTTAGAACATTGCCTCAAAGTGTGAAATTAATATATAATGACGTATATTATATACAAATTATCCTTTTTTTCTTCTAACCATCTCACCCTTGGTCCCAACTACTTGAAGTCCACCAACTGCCATCCCTTTAAGACCCCTCTGTTCAGTTTGGCAATAGCTGGTGTACAGGAGGCCAAGTTTAATTGTAGCTTGCCTTCCTCACCAAACCATTGCTCCTAATAAACATGAAGCTCTCTCTCTCTATATATATATATCAGCCCCACAAAATGGAGAATGTAACAAATTGTGAATCAATTGTTGTTACAGATGAACCCATATAACAGAGGAATTAAGAAGTTGATCAATGCAATCAAACAATCATTTGCAGGTTGGCGTCTGTTGTCTAAACTTTTTCACTTTAGGTTTAGAAAATTTTTGACTTATGATATCTTATATATATCATGAACCAAACAAAGGAGATAAAAGTATTTTAAAAATATTCAAGAAGGTAGTTGAAATGCAGCCTAGCAAACCGCCTTCATTTAGAAAAACATAAGAGATCTCTTATTGTAGTTCTAGTCAATTTAGATGGATAATAACTAGAGCTCTTCATAGGATGGGCCGAGCTTTTACTCTTCATAAACAGGATTTTATTAGGCCCGAACTCGAGCCCGGCTCTAATAAAAGTCGGAAGCCTAACCTAACAGAAAGATGGCAAAGAGAAAAGACTCATCGTTGGTGACTATGTTCGCCAATGCTGAATTCGCGTTTGTGTGTGAGAGAGAGAGAGAGAGAGAGAGAGAGAGAGATGACTCACTGCCGCCGCCGGTGCCTGTGTTCATCGCCGAGCCGAGCCTAAGTTCGCATCTAAGATTCTGAGAGAGAAGAAGTGAGAAGGGGAACACGAGAGAGAGAGAGAGAGAGAGAGAGAGGACTCACCGCCGCCACCGGTGCTTGTGTTCGCCGCCTTGCTGGTGCCTGAGTTCACGTCTGAGATTCTGAGAGAAAAGAAGTGAGAAGAGGAACGAGAGAGAGAGAGAGAGAGAGAGAGAGAGAGAGAGAGAGAGAGAGAGAGGACTCACCGCTGGTCTGCCGGAATTCACTGGTTGTGCTGGTGAGTGTTCACTGGTTCTGACTGCCTGAGAGTGTGAGGTTGCACCGGTGAGTGTTCGACTACCGAGAAGAGAGAACTAAGGTTCGGCTAGAAAGAGATGAATGAGAAGAGAGGGGTTAGGATATTTAGGGTTTTTGGTTTAACCTAAAAGTCGGGTCGAGCCAGGCCGGTCTTTTTTAATAAATCCCAAGCCCAGCCCGTAAAATAGTCGAGCTTGAGCTTTTAGGCCCGAGGTCAAGCCTGCAGGCTCAAATCTGTGTTCAAGCCCATCTAGGGGCTGGGCCGGGCCAGGCCGTCGAGCTACCCGACCCATGAACAGTTCCAATAGCAACCCTAATAAAAATCCATACTTGAAGCTTACCGGCGGAAAGAGGAAAACAAAAAAAAAATAAATAAATCTATTGGAGAAAACCTAAGACTTACCGATGAAAAGTAAGAACTAAGCGGTCGAACTGGCTTACTGGCGTCAAATGACAATCGATCTAGGGTTATACCTGCAAAAAAAATGGAGTTATTAGCCCTTTTTCCTCCAAAAAAAGATAATAAATGAATGGGCTTATCAAACGACTACTGTTTTTCTAATCGGGATGCCTCCTGTAGAGAAGACAACAGCTCCGACTATTGCTCTGTGTGAATGGTTGCCTCGGTGCTACAAGTCTTTTTATTGTTAGGGTTTAACTTTTTTCTTGCATTTTGAATGGCCCGTGATACACCAGGTCATGCCAACTCAGCCAACACATCAGCGTCAGGTAAGGTTGGCATTTTGTGAAACGTCGAACTGTTGAAGCGAGAATTTGAAGCTTCCCCAAACGGCTATGTGCATATAATTCGAGGCACTTTTCCCTAAATTCAAGGCCTTTATGTTTTCAAATAAACGTTTATTCCCAGCTGGTGCAAACGTGGCACCGTTTTTTGAGGAAAGGCCCACAGTACCAAATACGTTCATAATTGCAGGTTTTCCATGATAAGGTTAATGGACCTCACGTGCACCCTTCCCTTATTGCCACCCCTTAATTCCCTACAATGTGTAACATATAGGCCATTTTCGCTTTTTGGTAAGTTATTTATCCAAGTAAATGTAGTTACCTAGGTATATGTTTCCCAAGAAAGACTTACCCGGGTAAATGCATTTTACCCATATTTTGTTATTTTTCTTATAAATAAGGCAATGACCATTTTAGTCATAAAAGTCCATTATTAAAAGGGGCATTTTTGTCTCATTGTGTTGGCAACTTTCTCTCTA